CGTCCTGTCCTCTCCCTGTACCATAATGCGCATACATTAAATTTTGTACCTGCCCGTGACTAGTATACTGCTCAAATATTTATATTTGAATTAAAGTGACATTGTGTTAGTTGAGATTTGTCGATATCGACAACAAATACATTCTGCATTTTTAAAAACTTGAAAATTAAGACATCAGAATATACACGGTGAATCATTGAACATAACGCTGTTATGCGCACGCACGTAAAGCTACAGCAGCGCACGTGAAGACTCTCTTTACTAGAACAATGGACATGGGCTGCACTGGTGAAAGCTTAAACCTAATATCTGATCATGAAGATTTATTGCAAAATGTCGTTCGCCCTTGGTATGCATAGCGAACAGAAGTTACATGTGTACATGTACATGTAAGTGTAGGCTTAATGGATAGTCGAGTACACACGCCCCCCCCCCCCTTAATACACACACACACACACACACACACACACTCACACACACACACACACACACCTAGGGCCCATTCCCAATAAAACAACTCGTATCATGATACGTACCGGTATATCGATCCAAATCGCTGAGCGCAATCAGATTGATTGAATCACACGCCTCCTCTTGTTTCTAACGTTCTAGTATAACATATAATCACCAGCTTTTCTGTATTCTTCTCAATGCCAGAAAAAAGCGTGAGGATCTTTTAATTTGATTGCACTCAGCGAGAGCCCCTGCAGAGTTGGATCGAGCCACGTAAAATGAAAGTTTCGTTGGGAATAGGCCCTTATAGAGGTTTTATAATTATTAGTCCTTCGCTGACCGAGGCCATTGCACCGAGATTGCTAAAAGGTAAATAACCCCCGGAACAGTCGCAACGCTTTGTATTCGGCCAAATGAACTAAAAGAGAGGTCTTGCGTGTCAATTCACGTTATACAACAAAGCCTTAATTGTCAAATTGAACTTGATGTCCTAGTCATTAATTCAAAAATAAAATCCATCTTGTCTTTGTGTGATGATCAACAGAATGAGGGGTGGAGTCGATCCGTCTTTGACTGTTGCGTGTCAATTCACATTATACAAAAAAAACTGTCAAATTGGAATTGATGTCCTGGCCATTAATTTAAAAATAAAACTCATCTGATCTCATCTGGTCAGTAGAATGGTGTGTGTGTGTGTGTGTGGGGGGGGGGGGGGGGGGGTCGGTCCTTTTTTGACTGTTGCTATCTATTTATTATTGTTATTTATATATGTTTTTTTTATATATCTCAAAGAAACATAAAAGTGGAATGATAGATATGCGTGCGAAAAAGTCATAATTTTGAATTAATAAACAGGGTAAGCAAAATTATATGGATATCGTGGAAGCCAGATCAATTGCCAACGGCTATAGAGAGAACATTATCATTATCATATTGGCAAAATGACCGTGCGTAAATAAAGAGTGATTGTTTTAAATCATTTAAGAAATGTCGTCCAGAAAATCGGGAACCATTTACAATGACATCATCCCTCATTACTTAGAGCAAAACAAACAGACACGCGAGCCGTACGACAACAATCAGGAAAACGATGATTGTTATTATCATAAAAAGGGCTTGCCTCGGGCGGACTATAAAAAGGCCACCCACCGACATGCACGGCTATCAGTTGTTTAAATCTGATCCTGTCCATCCATACCTTGACCATGAAGTTTGCCTTGTTTCTGCTGTTTGCCCTGGTGGCTGTGGCTTGTGTTAGCGCCAACAAGAGGTGGCTTGGATCGTAAGTTCGTTATCAATTTATTTAGATAAACGCTGTCTGTTAAATTCACTGTGTACAGTATTTTCTAAACTACGCCATCAGTAGTTGTGCATGTAGCACTATTATTTACATTTCTTTAAATTTTCGTTTACAATTATTGTTTTTATTATTTCATTTCAATTATTTATTTGTCCACTGCGCCATTTGTCTGTTGAAGTAACACACAATTATTCGAATTGTTGCAGCTCTTTTCTTTCTTAGGCTTCAGTCACAAGTTCAGTGACTTATTCCTGTTCTTTTTTTCCTTTGAATCTTGTGATAGTTTCAGATGTCTAATAAAAGATTTCTCATGAGGAGATATTTTAAAATCACTATTAATATCTGCTGGCAAATGTACTCATTTCGACATTGCTCTAAACAGAAAACATTAAGCTTATAAGAATATACAAATGGGGCAAAAACTGTTCATTTTACATGATTGCATTGAAGTTATTTGAGTGTCCTCTAAAACGGTTTGATGATGGAAGTGCTGCGTTTATGTCTTTATACTTGAAGGCATTACTGCTACGTACGTACATTACATTTCGCCTTGTATATACGTAAAATTGTATGTACGAGTCAGTGGTCATTTGTGGTTTGAATTTTCGATTTTTTTCTACACTTTTAATCATGTTAAACACAGCTCGAATTCGTCAACCTTAAAACTTTTAGTTGTACCGTTTTATTTTCCATCGCCAGAAGGGGTTATTATCGCAGAGGTTACAACCTAAGATCGTACCGCTACGGCCCTCGTCGTTACTTTGGCCGTTACCGCTACTACGGATCTTATAAAGGTAATGCAGCATGATACTTTTGCAAACTTTAGGTAACGCCTGATACAGGTTAGACATTTAAATATCTTTACCATTTGTCATAATTCTGACTCATTGTAGAACGTTTTCTCGCTGGTAGGCATTGTTTTAATGAAAGTATTCCATACGTTTTCAGTGTGGAGATCCAGTGGTATAAAATCTTTTTCGACACTTAGAATTCACAACTCTTCTCTCTGTCACCGCTCTAGCTGCTCGCTAAAGCATTTTCGGATTTTCCAAAATGCGCATGCGTCGCTGAAACTGTATGTGCAACTAGTTCAAAATTCTTCCTAATGCTTTACAGTGTGATGGCATTTCATTCACTTTTGGAAATTTTTAACATTATTAACATAAACTTAAACTGTGAAAAAACGTCAGTGATAAAAAAAGCTCACATCTAAATCCTTATATTTCTACATGCAGGTGCCTGTGGTGTAGATGGTGTTTACGCTAGATCTTCTAATACCCTCGTCTTCTGCACCAACGGCCGCGCTTTGGTCCAGAAATGTGCTCCAGGATCTGCAATCAGCGGCTTGAAGAAAGGAAGCTTTTACAGCTGGAACGCCGTTTGCAATGTGAATCTTCTTGGTTAGATTCCAGTTAAAGTTCAATGACTATCAAGAGAAGTAAGTACGCAAAACATCGAGGTAAAAGGTACATGTAATATTTACACAGAAACATGCAAGTTTCTACAGTAGCATTTTAACAAACACAGTCATCCGCATTGCGCTAAACATTAAATGCAGACATAAAAATACATTAGTTATGATTAGATATTTAATATATAATGAGCTATATCCAGGATTTCCAGTACCGCCTTTGTCCCCTCAGCTTCTACGTCTCATTTTATAGCACTATGCCTATATTAAACATTTTATGTTGATATGTACCATTTCTTCTTTTCCAGATCTCAGTGCCTCCGAATTGATTTCGAATTCAGATATTGTCCAATTTTTATATCGTGATATATCAGTGAATTCGACAGAGAGAGAATAAAGCGTTTGAAAACATCTTACACCCCATTCTCATAGATTAGATCGACCTACATTGGATCGACCTAACTCCCTGGGGGTTCACGCTAAATAGCTGTCAGCCGGGCGGACACGAAAGTTAATTACCCCTTAAAGCTTGTAGTAGGCGGGGACGGACACTTAAGGGGGATTATCTGACAGTAATCTAGTGAGACTCCCCGCGGTGATAGATCGATCTAAAAGTTGTGAGAACAGAGCCTTAGTCTCTTTGTCCTTGAGTCTCTGTGCGTGTTATTGTATACTGAAGTATACTGAATATGGGATATACAGCCATGTGTAAATTAAGATGAATCATAAAATACACTTCAATTTGAGAGCAAAAATCTTTTCATATTATATTGAAAAATGATTAATAAAGACGAAAATAAGCACTAGAATTATACATCCCCATTGATCTCGCTGTGGAATCCTAACCAGTACATTCTGTCTTAATCATTTAAAGTTCACTCTGCCGAATATTCATGATGAAGCATTAAAAATGCTCCTTCTGCAGAATTTTTTCAATAGCAAACGCCTAAACATCGTCTTCGGGATTCCGTGCCTCTATTAATGGGAATGTGAGTTGCAAAATTAATAGTTTCCGTGGTCGTATATTGAAAAGTTGACCTCTGGCCCGCTTAAGGTCACAGTTTCATAACAGGTATATAGTTTAATGTTAAAACATTTGAAAGTGATGAATTTGATTTGAAACTCAGGCTAGCGTGCCAACCAATCACGTGACTTAACTACCATAATGGTACAAGTTTTCAACCATACCCTCTTGACGGCAAGACTTAATTGTTTTTAGCACACCAAACACGTGGCAATGAAAGTTGTTACATTTCATAGCAGACTACGTACCCTGAGTGTCAGAGAACAGTAAAAGCTAGCTTGTTAACTGTGGGATCACTTTTACCTGGTATTGCTAATATGGCTTATATATGAAATCAAGATCGAGCTGGAATCTAGAACCTAGGGTATAGCAGACGAACACATTGCATGAAAGTCACTAGTCTATAAGGTGAACGAATCAGTAAAGTTTGAGTGTCAGTGGGCGTATCCCAATATGACTTGATCCCGATGTCACATATAAACCTTTCTGACAAGTTATATATTATTTTCTTTCGCGTGAAAGGGTGTTATCTATCAAGAAGCATAACTTTCCTATTATTCCTGCCAAGATAGGACTTATTTTTTTCTGTCCCATTTAGATTTAAATCGCTTAATTTCTGAGTAGGGTCTATAAGTTTCAGAGGCTTCGCTTATGGGATTTACAGTATATCTCGATCTTATCAAATCCGTTCCAATTTTGTTATTTTTGATTGTTTTGTACATATTTATGTTCATTAACCAGATTGACTTACCAATCAGTGTGACGGCCGAGGGTGGGTATGAAGTTAAGTTCATTCGCGCTCGATTACAAAATGTGCTAGTTGTGACAGTCATTGTGCCGGAAGATTGGTATCAATCCCGATCAAGTCTCCAATTTGTAGAGAACCAACACGTGTGTTTTGTTATCGCCGTCATAACGTTTATTTGTATCGAGTCGTTTTTGGTGCATGCATTACAAATCCGATGGCTTTCAGGTTTAATTTTAATCAAGACGACAGTGGCATAGCCGAGGAAGTCAATGGAGGTGAGATTTGAGTGACAGGATTTATTCACAGGCTGCAGAGTACAACTAAACATTTTGTTTACTACTACTAGTACTGCAGAATTTCACCCCACTCTACTTGGGGTATATATCTCTCATTTTAATGTTAATAAGAATTCAGTGTCTCTACTATTCAGATTAATTAGTTTGGAAATTTAGTAACTCATTTTTATCCTTTTTGATAAACCTTCAAGCTTCATCCTTCAGACCTACTCGTACGAGTAATCATCAGTAATTACAGAAAGCTTATTGTAAAGATAGAGTTGAATAAACCCCTAGTGACTTCTTATACACATATACTTATTCTTTTGGTAGCTACAGAATAAAATTGAGCAAAACGTATTAATTGCCCAGAGATAATTTCAAGAAGAAGTTGTTTATGTAATCTTCAGTAAAATATGTGTTTAAAATCTTATACTTTATTCTTTTCAGCTCCCTATCATATAAATTTATACATACTGCACATATACTATACATTAACCCTCAGTATAACAAACAAATGCAGATTTTGTGGAGGTATTAAAACCAGTCATTAAAATATAACTGATAGATCTAACATGATATATTCAGGAGTTGTCCCTGTGCTGGAGAAAAAGGCTGAAGTGTTGACAGTTGCTGAGGCAGTGGAACTCAAGTATGAAGAAGAAAAGTTACAGGTGAATGTCCATACTTTATTTGAAGTCATTTGAGACACTTATTTTATTTAATAAGTGAATTTCTGATCCAGAGCAAGAAATAAATTTTCTCTGTAGACATGAATAAGACATATAATTTGCACATGTCATATCAGTATTATAATAATTGTAAAATCCATGTTTTGAACATTTTATTACCTTGTGGTTTATCCCACAGCATTTCCCTTGGAAATACTAGCACCCTTGTAATTTTATCTTGTCTTTAAAACTCATTGTAATTTTCTTTGCTAGTTTAGAGAGTAAATAGATGATGTAAATGCACTGAGAAAAGCTGTAACAGTGGGATGTTACTTAAACAGTGTATCTGCTAGCTTGACCCTTATTTTGAAAGGTACATAATTTAATTTTCTTTCAATTAGAAAATTCATCAGATGTTTTTTACTGTCAGATACAGTTTCTTCTAGCAGCAGCAGAAGTCTGAGTTATAGATTACCAAAATCTTGTTTTCTATCAAATTACTTCATTCTCTGATTCTTTGCAGTTAGAAGACATTGTTATAGAAACACTGACAACATCAGAGGGGATGGAGGTGAAATATTGCAGTGCTGAAGATATACAAGACAGGTTGAAACAGGAGAAAACAGACTCAGTCATTGTTAGGGCTAATTCATCTAATTCTGATCTTATTCCACATGTATATGAAGGTAAATTTACTATGGGTGAAAAAGAATTAATGAGATACAAGTTCAGCTGATTGTAAAAATGACATTTGGTTGAAAACAAAAACGAGCCACACACTTGCTAATACTTAAACAGTTGTAAATGAATTGCAAGTAGACATTTATCAGTTGAGCACTTCTTGGAATTTTTCTTATCTCACATTGCATGTCGTATTATTTTCATCATAGAAAACATATGCACATCTTACATCCTTTCGAGATACTGAAACATTCTGTCCCCCCACCCCCCAAATAAAATCATTTCGAGAGAGATGAGAATGCAAGGAAATGTAATAACAGTAAATGCAGATCAGAAAATTCAGAAAGAAAGAAAAAGGACACTTAATGCCTACAACTCTTGCAGGTGGCCTCAAGGTATGGGAGTGTTCTGTGGACTTGACACACTACCTGTCTGGCTTAAAACTGGCATTTAGAGGATTGAAAGTACTAGAGGTAGACATCAACATTGTTTGTGGTTGATTTTTTCAATTTATTTTTACATTTGTATTATTACTTCATATGATTATATTAGACATTTGGTGTTTAAAACTAAGTAGAAGTTTTTTTTAACATTTCATCTTTAAAATTTTATGATCATTTAACTTATCTATTTTTATGTACAGACACAGATGTGTCTGTACATATAGCCATCCTCTGCGTCTGTCGTCGCCGNGATCACAAAAGTATCATGGCCACAAGGATTAACCAAGGTAAATCATGCATTGCGTTGCTTCATTTTGCAAGAACGCCACGCTTCACATCTAAATCTTAATATTTCTACATGTAGGTGCCTGTGGTCCAGACGGCGTTTACGCTGCATCATCTAACACCCTTGTCTTCTGCACCAACGGCCGCGCTTTGACCCTGAAATGTGCTCCAGGATCGGCAATCAGCGGCTTGAAGAAGGGAAGCTTTTACAGCTGGAACGCCGTTTGCAATGTGAATCTTCTTGGTTAGATCCAGAAGCCTTCCGCGAAAGGTAAGTGCGTAAAACATTCAGGTAAAAAGTAAGATCCTCATAAAAGAGACATATGTTCCCACAGTAGTATACTTAGTATACTTAGCACATAACAGATACACGTATTTTAAGGGTGATTCAAAGTACTTGTAGCAAATAAAGACATAAAATACATAATATAGATCACTGAGCAAAAATATCAACACCCGATGTAAATTATGTATATAACACTTTATAGGCTACGGACAGTACGGACAGTAATCTGCAGCACATGATTAAACAACGAAATTCGCTCTGCATGATTTAATGTATATTTAAAGCGAAAATTGTATAACTGCTTATTCTGATTTTTTAAAATTATTGCGTTTAAAAGTATTGCGTTGGTCGCTTATATATATATATCTGGTAAGTGTACAGTTAGTTATATGTCACTGACGGACTTAGGGTAACTAGAAGAGGAGCTCAGTCCCTTTTGTTTCTTTGTCCTCTCAGTCGCATTTTGTCTCACGATCTACACAACACATGTGTCAGGCTAATATATACCATTTCTTCTTTTTCAGAACAGACTTTCGCCTCCCAACTACAGGGTATGTTGCTATTGATAGAATTGTCCGATTTCTATATCATGCTTTATTGGCAAATTTGGCATAGAAAGAATAAAGTGTTTGAAATTTTGTCACGTCTCTGTGCGTGATATCTTGTACTATCAATGTTGTTGAAATATATCTAGTTATGTGTAGTTGATCAATTATTAAATTTACTTTATCGTGGGAGCTAACAAAAACCGCCCTTTTTACTTTAATGTTGAGAAATGATGAAAAGCAAGGAAATAAGCTCGAAAATTATGCCGCTCGATTGAAAGAATTATTACGCTATAGAATCTTAGCCAATACTATTACTGCCGTTAACAATAAAAGCACAGTCTGGCATCAAAGTTTAGCCTTTATTGTTTATGCACGCTATATTATAATAAGCTATGCTATAGTACACAATTCTATAGTACGCTATGGTGAAACCGAAAAATGAAAAGAAACACTTATTTTGATACTATGGCGGCCAGGATAAACAGGATTGTCTAAAATATAGCAAACCTCTAGAATAATTTTGCACATGTGCATAAATATCGATCTAAAGGATGGCGACTAAATCAATACATGTATCACCTGTCTTATTCCAAACTATATAAATGTGATGATAATTTTGCCTACTCTATTAATGTTGTCCATATTGATACAGATCTGAACAAATAACATGACGTACCAATGAAATAAAGCAAAAATATTATCAGAATGGACTATATTTTGTAAAATAGGCCTACAGAAAATCGTTCTGTCCGCCCTGAAATATATATATATACTTTATACAGACTTGACATTTAATATGGAATATTTTTCCAAGTCATTTTTCATCAGTTTTTCCTATTTTGCTGACTGATAAATGAAAATAAGGATTAAACTCGTGTTTTAATAACTTTAAATTATCTCTTTGATGTCCTGGTGACATCAGCTCATTGGTTGAATTCGACATTGAAGCAAACAGAAATGCATTGCCTATTCTATGTCATATGACATCCATTAAAAGAGATATTTTGGATCTCCATATTTTCCAAATTATCGTCTGTAAAAGAGTTACACGCTCCACAAAGGACCATCATGTCAATGTCTAGTCATAGAAACGGTCGCTGTTATACTCATATCAACACACAGCACACTTGTTTACCTTTTAGAATATATATAAAACGCTGGTGTTATCAATATTGTAGCAATTTTGTTAAAATTGAAACACCCTAGTGTCACACGCTTCAAAAATGCGAGTGCTTGGCGTCGAGTTCACCTCGCGATAAAAAAAATGGACAAAGCTGCATTTTCAATATATATATACTGCCAGAAACCCAGTTTAACCATGATGATTTAGTTTTTAAAACTTTGTACAAATTAAACTTCTTATAGAAATCTTTAAATAGAAAATTTCGGACACCTGAAACGGGGCACCATTTGCAATCACCCGCGTGGATAAATCTTCCAGTTTACCGTTCTGAATCTATTTTTTAAGACAACTAACCTTAAAATTCCGAATCCTTAGATATTCCCGCTTCTTTTTATATATCAATCGTTTAATCACATCAACTGCTGACAAAAATACACATGAAAATACGAAGAGCTCAAAAGTCGTCCATTTTCACTCGATTTTGCTGAAAGTAGTGCGAAAATGGCCGTCGCTTCAGCCAGTGTGCACGCGCAGCTCGGAATCTGCGGACAGACTGTAGGCTACTATATGCTAAGCCCCCTAACCCGAAATAATCCTTCATTGTTCTTTTGCACGCCATGGATGTTTTCACTGTTTATATACAAGAAAATTTCAAACTGAACAAATTCCCACGTATAGGCCTATTATCGCTGCATGATGATCTAGTATCTTTATGGCCAAGTCAATAATGGCCTGATTTGAGGAATTTTTTTATTTCTATTGAATTATAGTTTAATAAGGCGATGCCCATCTGATGATATGTCAGGTATATTTTTCCAGTTGTTTACATCATGACGATGGCCATTATACCGTGTTGTCCTTGAACTGTTCGGAGATAATGGGGTCACTTAATTTTATGCCCAACGTTATCAACTTACACACACGCTCTTTTGCCTATCGTTAGATTTTACAATCAATGACATGTCAATGTTCTCATAAATGTCCCTTATTTGCATAGCTGTTCTGATTCGAATAGAAACCCAACTGTTTAAAATAAAAGTACCATTGTCTGAGTGTCCAATTACCAATTGACGTCGTAGTATCTGGCTTAGCCTCTTTTCTTTCAAAATATCTTCTTTTTTTTTTTTCAATCTTACTTAAATGATTCCTGCATGCTAACCAGCCATCCCACTACAAAACTGTGATTCGAATAAAAAGACGAGATTGTTGCGCATATGCCTGCGCTCTAGCTGTCTATGGACTTTCTTTTATTAGTGATATTCCAGCATTTGACATCTAACAGTAGATTATATACTTAATGTTGAATCACTGTTGACAGTTTATAATTGTTTATAAAAATAGCGAGTAAAGAGTCCCAAATTAACATTCGGTCAAGAAATTCTCCAATTTGGTAAATTTTAGTTCCTTAAAAGATTATTTCTGTCATTTTACCAAATAAGTTTCAAAATCAACAAGATTTCAACATTATTATAGAGATACACAAGTACGTTGTAGCCTAGTAGTGGGGCCAGTTAATTAACCTATATAGCAAAGGGTTACCTATCGATACACAAACGGGTGTGAAATATCTCTATCACAGTAATTTGCTGTTCTTCAGCTGTGACATAGAAAGGATTGACAATAATATTTAAAGTTTCAAGTGGTATTTGGGAAAGTCAGGATTTTAAACGATGTTTGCTGAAAATCTTGCTGAGACAATTTTAAACATTTCTTGGCATCAGTCACACTGTTGAAGTCTTTTAGTGTCAGGGTGAAAACTTTCACAGGCATACTTTCCAAAAGTTCGTGTAGGAAGTGAGTAGTTTAAAATTGCCTCAACATGGTCGACAATACTATGCAAATAAGCTTCCATCATAATATCTGAAAAAAAAAAACATTTTAATTTGCTCTTTTTCCCACCCAAATTTCTTTGGATAAAACTTGTTTTGTTGTAATTTTCCTTTTCAAATGCAGGTCTTGTTGTGATCGCGGATATAACGTTAACGCGGCACGATATTTCACGATTGATAGTCGTGTTCACAATTACTGCACTGTCGTGTTATACGTATGCTCATGCAACATAGCCTTCCCCGGCGCTGTGTATGATTAAGAGTAAAATAGTTAACAGTTCGAATAACCTTTTCACCTTATGTACATATATTTTCAAATCATTAAAAAACTAAAAAAAATGTTCTCAGGGAGGCACATTTTTAGCTTCTTTGCAAATTGATTCTGATGTACGCAAGATCAATATAAGGATTTTTTTTCTTGATAAAGCAAATTTTCAGAAGAACAATAAACCACTGTCAATTTGACAGGCAGACAAATGGCGATTATTTTACGAAAGGTTACGTCGTGACCTTAGTTTTGGGGGGTAAAGGACTATAAAAGACCTCAATCCCTAAGTAGTTACTATCTGTTGGATCTTTAGCACTCCTTAGCCGAGAATTCTTCGATCATGAAGTTTGCCTTGTTCTTGCTGGTTGCCCTTATGGCTGTCGCTTATGTCAGCTCGGCCTATTCCGACCGCAGGCAGTACGTTCGGTATGTCCCCATTTTCTACTTTTATTTTCTTATTTAGTTTGATTGAATAACAGCGGATTTTCAGTTTATTTTTTAAAAATAATTTTAATAAGAGGCAAACTCCTCGAGAAAAGTTACTCTTAAATGTTTCTAAGGGGAAAATTTTGATCAAAGACAATTAGGAAGCTTTATCGAAACAAAACGAAGTTCGGAAAAAAAACATTCACCCAATTAATTTTTCTCAATAACAGAATTATTCTGACAAAATATCGTTTCTGCAATTAGTTTTATATTATGTCCCTGTTTAATGTCTTTGTAGTAATTACTACCACCGTGGATACGGATATAGACGTGGATACGGATATGGACGACCATACGGCTATGGACCTGGCTATGGCTACGGATCTAGACATGGTTACTATGGCTACGGATCTAGACATGGTTACTATGGCTACGGCCGCCCATATGGCGCCTACCGTTACCGTTACCATGGCAAATATCCTGGTAAGTAATACAAAGTTTTTATCACCTGCGGTGCAATCAAGCAAGTCTGTAAGTTGAAATTATAATATCCAGAACTTTCTTCTTTTTCTTCTTCTTCTGACCTTTTGCAAGCAACTCTACAGCAAGTTCATTAGGTTTGTACCTTGTGTGCGTTTGTCTGTAATAGAATCAGGTGAAACTGTTATTTGGGGCCTATACGTTTGTATTACGAATTGTCCTTCAAGCATATTATCAGCATCCTCTTTTAGATTAACTAGGTTTTCATTTTTTCCTGGCTAAACATTTCAATTTTCAAACAGTAGTTTTCGATTATGTTACACCTGTATTAGTTTTTCGAAATTGTCTCGAATTAAATTCATCTCTTCATCGGTCGGCTAATGCATATTTTCTTTAAATTATTGCTTTTTCAATGAATCTCAAAATGTTTGTGGCTTTGCAACTCCTACTACAATTCCCAGCACACAGCG